CAGCTGTCATTGTTGTTTGGCAGGCCCGGGCTGGGGATTCGAACCCGCCACCTTAGGTGTATGTGGCTGGCGCCTTAGCCGCTTGAGACACAGGCGCTAAGCCTATGTCAGAAACTTCTAACTGGACATCTTGGCCAAGAGCTGGTAGTTTTAGAACCAGGTCTCTAGGACAGAAGTACTCATTAACAACACATCACCCTAGAAGTTGTACCATATTCCTGGTGCATTTGTGGGGGCTGTGGGGGGACCCTGTCACAGTAGCCCTGTCCCTATGACCCTGGCAGGGTAATCAGTACTCTTCCCCTCGATGCCCAGATTAGGAACTGAAAAGGCCTTGCTCCAGGATGGTAGAGCAGGACGGGCACAACCCTGGTGTGGCTTGGGACCTGGTCCTCACCGACCGAGCAGGTGAGGGTGGCCGGCAGCCAGAGTGAGCACTGTGGTCCCTGCCCTGGCAGGACACAGTACCCTGTGCCCCTGTTAAGGGGGCTGCCTGCAGGTTTACTGAAGCTACTCCTGCTTTGCGGCCAAAGAGCCCTCAAGGTGCCTGGGTCTGACCCACTCACCATGGCAGTCGGCATAGTCGGGGTGCCCAGGGGTGTGGTGCTGGCACAGCCGGCTCAGCAGTAGGCGGTAGTGCACCAGGCGCTGGGTGGGCTTCAGCAGGAATGCGTTCAGTGGCAGGTAGCACACCTTCTGGAGCTCAAACTCCTTGTACACAGCCTCCAGCTTCCTAAAGCGTTTGGTGGCCTTTTCCAGTTCTGTCAGAACTTCATCGTGTCTTTGGAAATAGCTGGTAAATTCCTGTTGAGACAGTGTCAGTCAGAAGGTGTGGGAGAGGGTCCAATGAGAAGTAGCCTGCTCCTCTGGAGAGGACTATGCACAGTGGCTGGAAGTCCTGTCGTAGCTCACAGGGAGAATCGCCCACTGTGTGTGAGCCAGGCTTGTCCCACCCCCTCAGGCTCTTCTGTGACAAGCCTTATACCAGCTGGTCACCACCACTCCCACTGCCGGCTATCCCCATTCTTTACGTGGTGAATGGACCAGTGGGTTTCTCCCCACTATATAGAGGAAGAGCTGAGGCTGGGAGGGCCACAGCTCATGTTGTAGGACAGAGATTGAGCACTGGGCAGAGAGCCTCTAGCCTGCCTAAGCCTCACCAGATCCCAGAGCTTGCTTCAGAAGCTTCACTCAGAGCAGAGCAAAGCAGCCATTTGATGCTGCACAGAGGGGACGGCCGTGCCTGAAGTTTTACAGCACGTCAAGGTGCACACAAGTCTAGATTCTGAGGTTTGGCAGCCTTTTCCAGTTTTGTCAGGACCTCAGACATATTACCTACACAGGCATATTAAATAGTGACTGCATTCTAGGTTTCATTACTAAATAAATTTTTTTTTTTTTGTGAGACAGTCTCATTTTGTCACCCCTGGTAGAGTGCTGTGCCATCTTAGCTCACAGTAACCTCAAATTCTTGGGTTCAAGTGATCCTCTTGCCTAAGTCTCCCAAGTAGCTTGGACTATAGGTGCCTGCCACAATGCCTAGCTATTTTTTTAGAGATGGGGTATCCCTCTGGCTCAGGCTGGTCTGGAACCTGTGAGCTCAGGCAATCCACCAGCCTCGGTCTCCCAGGCGTCACTGCACCTAGCAAATCAATTTGTTTTAATTAACATTAAAGATTACCTGTGTGGTACAACAAGCTTAGGCAACAGATTGGACATACTTCAATTTTAACTTACTGCAACTGCTTTATGGACAGATAGAACTTTCTAATAAGTTTGTTCAGAAACCCAAAAAAACATCCAGGTGAGAAGGGGGAGATCCGAGGTGAACGAGTCCTTTAGGCAGGGTTACCTGAAGACAGAGCAGAAGGCCAGCTGGCCCTTAAGAGCTCTAGGTGTGGGGTGCAGTCAGAGGCTGGCAGGGCCAGGGGAGGAGACAGGAGGGTCGGAGAAGGACATGGCCTGGGGCTGGCCATGGTACCTTGGGCTGCCTTGTGCTGGGTATGTGGGAAGCATGAGGGGCTGCAGGCCTGTTCAGCAGAGGCAGCCCTGGATGGTGATGTGCGCCTGCACTGTGGGGTGCACCAGGGCAGCTGATTTTGACCGAGGGACATCTCGCTGCCACATGGTGCTTCCTGGAACACGTCCCACAGAGCTCTCACATTCGAAGGAGTCACTGGATGGTGAGCCCAGCAGCCCTGTCCTCCCCATACCAGCTGTGGGTGCTCTGTCTTGAGGGAACCTGGTCTGAGGGGACCCTGCTGCGACCTCTGAGAAAGGCTGTTCTGGAGGGTCATATGCGGGAACATCTTGTACTGAGGGGCATTCCGTTGTGATCTCCGAGAAGGACCCTGTTCTGGGCAACCACACCTGGGGAACATCCAATAATGGAGGACCCCACCCTGGGAGAACTGTGAAATGGAGGGACCCTGGTCTGAGGTGATCTCTGCCCTGGATGGGCCCTCATCTGAGATGACCGGATGCTGTGCCAAGGGAGCTGTAGCCAGAGGGAGGGACAGGCGCACCCTCCCCCACAGTGCCTCTGCGTCTGGCACTGCCAGGCAGACGCTCTCTACCTTTAACTGCTGCATGCTCCTGAGCAGGATGTCCCCGATTCGCTGGTGACCGCCTTTGGCATGGGCATCTGAGGGCCCTTCCCTGGAGTAGAGAGGAATGAAGTTCGAGCCCTGTGAATAGTGTGGCAGGTGCCGCCACTCACTGCTGGTGTGGCTGGCTGCCTGTCACAGACCAGTGGTGGAGACACGCTCTGAGGCAGCAGGCTAGCAGGGCCTGAGGTGACACAAGTGATTATCACTCATCTGGCCATTCTCTAAAAAGATAATAAGACTACAAAGGGGTCATCTACTTTTAACTTGCTTTCATTCTCTTTTCTGGAATAGAACGAAAAAAGATTATTGTCATATTTCTACATCTCCATACAAGATTTTAAAATGTATTGCAGTGAAAACAGTGGTTCTTATGCATTAGTTTTGGCAGCTGGGATGGTGATGAGGGTAGGGCCACTCATGCCAGGGTCCAAGGTTCACGGCTATGTGTGTGAGGGCCAGGGCAGGGGCCATTGGCATGTGCTGTGGAGGTCCAGGAAGCAGGGGCCATTGGTGTAGGGGGACATGGGGGCTTCCCAGTGAGCGGTGGTGTTACCAGAGCGCCAGCCTCTCCTCCACCTCACACAGGAAGCCTCTGTGGAACTCGTAGATGGGGTCCATGTTGGAGAAGAGCAGGGTCATCAGTGCTGCAGGCATGGCATCCTCCTTGACCACTGCACTGCGGAACCACTATGGGAGAAGCTTGGTGTGACAAGACGCTTGGTCTTTGCCAGGCACTGAGAAACTGCCCTGAGGGTCTGTGGCCACAGAACAAGCTGCCCTCTGTCAGGTCTAGCTCAACAGTGACAACCCTCCTGTCACCACCTGCAAAGATGGCTCAAATCAGCACTACAGCTGCCCGGTGCTGACCACCCAGTTTTCAAATACAATAATTCTAGGTCAAAAGTTTCAAATGGATGTATTCCCAACTTTACTGCTTCACAAAAACTTGGATCTTAATGTTTTTACCTGTCTTAGAATAAATGTTTTAAGGAAGATATTTAATAAAATATATCCACGTACGTCTCAAAAGGATGGAAATATATCCACGATTATCAAAAGGATGGAACCTCTGTGTTTATTTTTTTGAGACAGAGTCTCAGTCTGTCACCCTGGGTAGAGTGCTGTGGTGTCATAGCTCACAGCAACCTCAAACTCCTGGGCTCAAGCAATCTTCTTGTTTCAGCATCCCAAGTAGCTGGGACTGCAGGCACCTATCACAATGCCCAGTTATCTCTAGAGAGGGGGTCTTGCTCTTGCTCAGGCTGGTCCTGAGCTCCTAAGCTCAGGTGATCTACCCGCTTCAGCCTCCCAGAATGTTGGGATTACAGGCATGAGCCACTGTGTTTAGATTTAATATGCATTAAGAAAAAAGTCAAAGTAATCAAGGACTTTCATACCACAGTAATAACTTCTAAATCTTTCACATATGTTCGTTCTGTAGCAAGAATCTCCTTTGCTATGAAATAGGCCTCGTCCGCAGACATGAGCTGGAAGAAGCAGAGACAGCTGTGAGCACGCGTCTTCGGGACACATCACCCTGTGTTCGGTGATGTGAAGGTTTTAACACTTGCTTTCTTCTGCTTAAGTTAACATCATCATGGGTTTTCATCCCTAATTCCTAAGGGATTTATTTCTTTTTTTTTTGAGATAGAGCTTAAAGCTGTCCCCCTGGGTAGAGTGCCGTGGGCTCAAGCGAGTCTCCTGCCTTAGCCTCCCAAATAGCTGGGACCACAACACCTGGCCATTTTTTGGTTGCAGCCGTCATTGTTGTTTGGTGGGCCCAGGTCGGATTTGAACCTGCCACCTTGGGTGTATGTGGCTGGCGCCCTAGCCATCTGAGCCACAGGTGCCGAGCCAGGAATTTATTTCTGAGTACAATCATGTCATAATTAAGCCCAGGTGTATCTCCCTCAAATGTTTTTCTTGTCTTATGTTATTTTTTTCAACCATAACACCCAGCTATTTTTTTTATTTTTAATTAAGACAGGGTCTCGCTCTTGCTCAGGCTGGTCTCAAACACCTGAGCACAAGGAATTCTCCCACTTTGGCTTCCCCAGAGTGTTGGGATTACAGGCCTGATCCACCTCGCCCAGCCTCATTTTATGTTAATTCCTTTGGAGAAGAGAATTGCTGTGCAAATTACATACATAAACAGGGGTGAAGCTTATTTCTGATTTTGTGATAAAATTATGGTTTGAGTGCCAGTGCCAGTGGCATAGCTAGTTAACACAGATCCATGAGTGTGTATGTGTGTGAGATTATAATGATTAGCCCTAACTCCTGAAGGAAGTCGTTAAAATGACCAGCGTGTGTTCTGGGTGTGCCTACATCAGATACTTCCTCAATGCAGAGATGTGTCTGACCCCAACCTCAGCTTTCATCAGGACCAGAACTGGCCCAGCCCTGGCAGCTCCTAAACCTGTCAGGGCCGTCTCTGCCCAACCTGTTAATGCCAGACAGGCGAGCCAGCTGTGGGCCCCGTACCTCATCCAGGTCAGCATTCCCCACAAAGCTCCTCACAATGGGCTCAGCAGGTGCTATGTGTTATCTCTGGGGGGCCCCTGTCTACCTTGTACCCCTCCAAGGGCTGCCCTCTATCAAGGTCCATCCTCCCTCACCTCCCAGCAAGCGGCCCTTCCCTGGCCTGCCTGGTGGGCTGCTCTATTGCCACACTTCTTTTGGGTGAGTGGTCCTTGCACTCATTGTGCAGACACCAACAGAGCATGAGCCAGCTCCAAACAGGCACCTGGACATGCCCCTGGACAAAGGGCCCTGCGCCACTTGACCTGGCATCTTCCCCAGAAAGACAGGCAAGAAATGACAAAGAGTTAACAAAGAAGTCCCATAGGTGGCAGGGAAAGGCTGTGGTAAGTAGAACACAGCAAGAGGGGTGGTGGAAGCTGGTGGAGGCTGCTGCAGCCTCAGAGAGGTGGGGTGGCTGGCAGGCAGGTCAGAGGTCAGGTGCTGGAGGAGAGAGGGTAAGAGCCAGAGGGGCCCTTTGGGGTCTGTGTGAACATACTGGGATGTGCTCAAATCCAGCAGGAGGCCAGGGAGACAGTGAAAGGGGCATGAGGCAGGGTAAGGGTCAAGCCCACTTGAGTTCCAGCACGGATGTGACACGTGAGAGACAGAGGTGGCAGGGACAACTGCAGCAATTTCTGGTCTAAGCCCAGGGAAAGCTCAGCTGCCATGGCCCATAGCAGGGAGGGCGACAGGGGCAGCTCCCGGGAGGGACATGGAAGCTCTATTGCCCCATGAAGGTCTGAGGTGCATGAGATATGGAGCAAGAGGTTCTCACTTAGTTGAGGAAGGTGGGCTATGGCCACCCCTGGGCTCACCCTTCTGCCCTGTGCCCTGGCTAGTTCAGGACAGCCTGTGGCACACCTGCAGGGCGGTCTGCTCTGGAGCTGCTGGTCCAGCTGGCCACAGGCTGCTTCTCTCAACAGCTGCCTGGAGGCTGTAGGCTGGGGCTCTGGGTGGCTTCTTCCACAAGCACCAGCTCTTCACCCTCTCAGGGCAGCTGAGTCACACTTCTGACCTTTTCCCAGTTTTTTTCTTTTTGGATTTTGTGATATTAAAAAATGACTTTTTCAAATCCAAATTAAGTAAAACTTTTTCAAAGTATTTTCTCTACCTAAGTTTGTATGCCCAGAGAAATCCCTGGAATCAGAGCTGGCCCCAAGAGGCCCAGGTTTGTGGTCTGAGAGGCTCTAGCTTCTCCCTAGTGACTAAAGGACAGGGACTTTGGATGCTAACACCACGAAAGCTACTGGCCCTGGGCCCTGGGGAGAGTTTAGTACAAGAAAGCCTTCCTACCGGCACTCACCTTCCTAACTCTAAATATTGTAGCTATAAAACAGAACGCCCTGCGTCCTCAGGGTCTGAGACCAGCCTTACCTGGGGTCAAGGCAGATGCACACCCCAGGATACAGCCCAGTAGTGTGGCCGGGAGGCTCCTCTCCACAGTGCTCAGTGGGTTACAAGGTGCCTGGTGTGGGCTGGTCAGCTGGAGTTACCAGGGTGGCTGCCTGGCCCTGGTGACATTCCCACGCCCTCATTAGCCCAAGGAAAATGCTGAAGGAAACTCTCAGGGGACAGAGAGTATGAGAGCTGCTGCCCTGTCCCCCGTATCTCCAGGGTAATGTCCAAGCTGAGCCTCAGGCAAGCAAGGCTACTGGTCAGGGACACATGGGCAGTGAGGGACAGTCTGGGATCAATGCAAGACTCCTGTCAGCTTTTCCAGCCACCACAGAAGCACCTGTGTGTGCTGCCATCAGCTCTCAGCCCTGCAGGCACAAGGAAGGTCACCTACTGTCTTTGGCTTTCCTGCCTTTGAAACATTGCTGGTCCTCACCAACCTCTATTAACAAGGGGAGGGGATGCTGGGGAGAAGGGGCCTGCTGGCACCTGGGGCAGAGGGTCAGGTAGCTCCTCCCTCCTCTACCCAAGCTGAGCAGCCAGATATGATCCCAGATGCTTGGCAAGGCCTTGCCCAGTGGGAGCCCTGGGTGGCTGCCCAGGAACTTGCTGCAGCCTAGAGTTGGGGGGTTGCTGGTGGCTGGCCCACAGCCGCTGGCTCACCCCAAAGCCCAGGCTTGCTCATGACTCTTCGTGCCAACAACTGAGCTGGGCTGGTGGGTGGTGGTGAAAACAGGCTGTGCACCCTGGAGCCCACCCAGGCTGGATGCCAGCCCCTATGTACATGCAGATATACAGAATGGAGTCAGAGTTGTCCCGAAGGAGAGGTGAAGACACTGGACCAGAGCACAGGGCCATAGGCACAGGGGCTGGAGACCAAGGTCTGCCTGAGAGAACCTCTTTCTGCACAGACTCAGCCACCAACTCAGGAGCACAGCACTGTGGGTGGGTGGGTATCCTCATCTCAGAGGGCTGTCCCCCATTGCCAACCCTTTCTCTTAGGGCCACACACCGTCAGCCCAATTACCCCCAGGTGTGACAAGCTGTCACCCTTCAGAACCACCCAAATAATCAGCTATGTCCTGTAAAATAAAAAGTAACAGATTAGAATTTAGTTTTAAAGGGGAGGCGCCTGTGGTTCAGTGAGCAGGGCGCTGGCCCCATATACCGAGGCTGGTGGGTTCAAACCCAGCCCCGGCCAAACGGCAACAAAAAATAGCCGGGTGTTGTGGTGGGTGCCTGCGGTCCCAGCTACTCGGGAGGCTGAGGCAAGAGAATCGCCTAACCCTAAGAGCTGGAGGTGGCTGTGAGCTGTGATGCCATGGCTCTCTACTGAGGGCTAAAAAAAAAAAAAAAATTAGTTTTAAAAACAGACTGCTTCCCAGACACTTTTGTTTTTGTTCCAAAGAAACAGTGAGCTAAACAGATTATCATTAGGTTTCCAAAATACATAAATAAAAAGATATCTATAAGCCACCCTTTTACTGACAAATGTCAACGTTCAAGGGGCCACCAGTGGCCCCAGCAGGCTGGGACAACAAGGTTGAAGCTGACTAGGGGGTAGTCTTGGGACCAGAGCCTGCCCCGTCCACAGGCTTAATACCAAAGCATGTCCACCCTGTGGCCATCCAGGTCTGGGGGTTGCTCTCACTCAAGGTAGGAATCTCAAGTGCTCCAAGGGCGGCCCTGGGTGTAGGAGACATGGTCCTGGACTTTCTTCTTTGTTGTTGTTGTTGTTGCAATTTTTGGCCAGGGCGGGGTTTGAACCTGCCTCCTCCAGTATATGGGGCCGGCACCCTACTCCTTGAGCCACAGGCACCACCCTGTCCTGGACTTTCTTTGACCAGTTCAGAATGAAACATAAATGTGAGTACTGGAGGTTACTTCAGTGACAGCACTTGAAGTGGGTGCTCCTCCTGTTCAGGCCCCACTACCCATCTCCCTTGCACCTGCTGCTCACGGACCCCCGTGTCTTTCTTCTCTGTGGCCCTCGGGCCCAAGACTGTCTGAAGCCCATTCTCTTCCTCAGACCTCAAACTCCTTGGATTCTGTCTTTTCTTGTAGCACCAACCTGCAAAACCATAGCTGTGGGTGGACCCCTGCTAACTGCTTTCCCTATAACATAAACCAGGTGCAGGGTGAAGGCCTGGAAGGCAGAGGCCACTTTGATGCCATGGAGTCACACCCATCAGCTGCCCTGCCTGTGAGCAGCCTTCTTTGCTCAGTCCCTTTCTACCTGCAGACTCTGGGCATCTGATCTCAGTCCTACCACCTCTGACACGAGATGTTCAGGGGCACCTTCCCGTGGCCCACAACCACGTACCTCTCCCCTCCTCATGGTGTAAGGACCCTCACCGCCCACCTGCAGGCTCCCCCACTTCTCCATGTCTGCCTCTGGCCCCCAGCTTCCATCAGGTCTCCTACCCAAGGGCCTCCTCAGCCCCTAGATACGGTGGTGTCCTCAATAAACCCTCCTTTAGCTCCCAAGTACTCGACTGTTGAAGAGAAGTCCAACCAAGAGGGAAGGAAGGAGCAGAGAAGGGAGGACTGCAGAGGGAAGGGTGAGCAGGGCTGAAACTACCCCCAGATCATGGCCCTTCCTGTTCCTGCCCATAGTGAGGACCCAGCCTGACACCTGGAGCCCACAGGTGCTGCAAACTGTTTGCTAAATAAACAAGGAAATTTGTCTTGGCACCAAGAAAGCTGAAGGGTCTTGGAAGGTAATAGGTGGATCTCAGGAAGAGACTGCATCTTGACCCAGCTCCTTTCTGCCCAGGAGGCCCCTGGGGGTGTGGGCATAGAGCTCCTGTTCTGCCTCAGGATCCCCCATTGAGCTCTATCCCAGCCACAGCCCCTCTGTCTAGGGTTAGGCCCACCTTGGGTTTTGGCTCCTCCTCGTCGTCCACTCTGGCTCTGCCAGCGTCGCTGAGGACATGGCTCAGGAGTGGACGTGGGCCCTGCTCCGCTGGGCCCAGAGTCACCTGGAACACAGGGCTCAGGCTCAGGGGGCTCTTCTGGCTGGAGGGAGAAGGCTGAGGATTATCCTCGGAAAGGCCTGGAAAGGAATGGGGTGGGGGTAGATCGAGAAATGAGAACAATGAGAGGTTGGCTGAGCACCACCACAGTCAAGACGCCCACAGGAGCCCGCACTCCTCCTGGGCACTTCCCAGGAAACCTGTCTATGAAGCCTTCATCCACTCTCTCCTAAACGCCACAAGATGAAAATGAAAATGGGCTGATGGCTGACATAGATGGATCCAGTTTCAGAGACCAGCCATAGAAGGCGTGGACACCACCCTGTGTCTCTAGGAGCTTTTTTTTTTTGCCTTAAAGAAATAACTGATAGGACAGTGCCTGTGGCTCAGTGAGTAGGGTGCCGGCCCCATATACCAAGGGTGGCGAGTTTGAACCCAGCCCTGGCCAAACTTCAACAACAATAAAAAGAAAGACAAAAAGAAATAACTGATAAAAAAATAAGTACCACAAAGTCTGTAAGGCAAAGGCATTGTCAGGAAAAGGTATCGTTTCTGTGTTGGTGGAGGTTAGAAACACAAGATTTAAAACCAATGCCACCTTTATCTGCCTTAAAATAACAACTCTCTATTTTAAGGCCAAAGCCATTAATCATTCCTCAAAAACTAGAAAGTCATAAAATGGCTCAATTCATGCTGTTTTCTAGTTCCTTGAATTTTTCATTAATGACAACTTTTAGTTTTCTAGAATTACATCACAGTAAGTAATATTTTTTTCCTTCTTTTTTTTTTTTT